TCTGGACACTATATTCATTTTTCCACTTCCACCACTTAGTATTTGCTTTTCCAAGAAGACTTTCTCTGTCTCAGCCACTATGAGTTCTAGTCTCCTCCTCAGCCCAGTCTTTGGTATTCTGTTCCGTTTACTTTCAAGAGTCCCAAGCCAGTGAATTAAGTCTGATCTTGCCTTAAATGAGGCTCACTTCTTCAAACTCTGAACTGAAATCTGGTCATAGACTCTTCAACATTGCATAAGCCTATAGGCTTACCTGGGCCATCACTTTGGTTTTCTTTGATAGTGATTCTTTCTTGATCAGTGTATATCTTAACATTTATCTGTGGACCTTGTTAAAACATGATTGTGATTCACTAAATCCACAGGAGGCCTGAGATTATGCATTTCAACAGCACTTTTAGGTGTTGCTGATGCTGTTGACACATAAGCTACATATTCAGTAGTATGTTTTCGGAAGCTAAGCATTTATATCTCTTTTTATAAAAATTGATTTAACTTTAACCACTTATATTGAACAGAAATACAACTTAAAATAGGCTTGCCCAATGATTGAATGTGATAGCTTTCAGAGAAGGTAAGTTGGACCAAAAACACAAATAATGTAAGGAAAAACTTTACTCGGTGTTTTTCTTTGCCTAAAGCAAGCCAAAGGAAGAAAATAATAGATTGAAGTGGAAATGTAATGGAAGAGATAATAGAGAAAATCAATGAAAACAAAACCTGGTTCTTTGAAAATATCCACAACATGTCAAACCTTTGGCTAGGTAGACCAAGGAAAAAATTTGAGAGAAGACTCAAATAACCAGAATTAGAAAGAAGGAACATTATTTCTTACCTTATATAAATAAAATGGAATACTATGAACAATTGTGTGCCAATACTTAGATGAAATGTGCACATTCTTAGAAAGATGCAAACTACTGAAACAGAGTCAAGGAGAAAATGAATATGAATACTCCTACAACAAATAAAGAGATTGAATTAGCACAGGTTAATCATCCCCAACCCAAAAATCTGAAATCCAAAATGGTATAAAACCCAAAACTTTTTCAGCACTGTCATGGTGCCACAAATGGAAAGTTCCACACCATGAAACTTTGTTCCATGTACAAAATCATTAAAATATTATATAAAATTTCCCTCCTGTTATGTGTAGAAGGTATATCTGAAACATAGATGTAGTTCATGTTTAGACTTGGGTCTCATCCCCAAGATATCTCATTATGTATTTGCAAATATTTCAAAGTCCAAAAATTGTGACATCCAAAACACTTCTGGTCCTAAGCATTTCCAACAATGGGTACTTAACTGTAATTTTTTTAAATTCCCACAGACAAAACCTCAGGCTCAGATGGTTCACCACTGAATCCTAACACATATTTAAGGAACTAACACTAATTGTTTACAAACTTTCTCTAAAATAGAAGAGGATGAAGCATTTCCCAACTCATTAAAGGAGGTAATACTGACCTCCATCTGGATAAGGAAGAAAAAAATAAAACCGTCCCTAGTCACAGATGACATGCTTTCGTGTATATAAAATCCCAAGGAAGCTACAAAAAACCTTATAGCTAATAAACAAGTTCATCAAGGTTGCAGGACATAAGATCAATTCATAAAAATTAATTATATAACTGTATATAATGAACAACTGGAAATGAGATTAAGAGAAACAGTTCCATTTACAATAGCATCAAAAAGAATAAAATACTTAGGAATAAATATAAGAAAAGGAGTGTAAAATTTGTATTTTGAAAACTACAAGTCTCTGTTGAAAGAAATTTAAAAAGTCTGAGTGAATGAAACTATGTCTCATGTTCATGGATGGGAAGACTTAATATTACTAAGATGGTAATTATTCTTAAAGTGATCTAAGATTCAATGTACTCATGTATGAAAATGGAAAAATGAGACCCGCTGAAACTATTCTAAGAAGGGAGGAGGAGGGATAAAAGAGAATGATGGAGGGGGTGAATGTAACTAAGATATATTATAAGCACTTTTGTAAATGTCACAATGTGCCCCCAGCACAATAATATAATAAAAGTAAAGTTAAAAAAGAATTCCAGCTAGCTTTACTTTAAAAATTGGTAAGACAATTCTAAAATGTATGTGGAACTTCAAGTGACTCAGAATAGCTAAGACAATCTTGAAAAAGAACAAGGTGGACATGAAGGTGCAAACCTATAATCCAAGTACTCAGAAGGCTGAGGCAGAAGACTCATGAGTTTGACTCCAGCCTTGGCCACATATTGAGACCCTGTCTCAAAACAAGCAAACAAAAAAAAGTAAGGACTCATATTTCCTGACTTTTTTAAAATTTATGACAACAGTAATCAGGACTGTGACGCTGGCATAAGGATAAACTTATACACCAATGCAGTACAATTGAGAGTCTAGAAATAAAACCATATGTCTATACTCAACTAA